CTTAGTTTACACAAAAACTATTTGCATAACAAAAAATAAGGGTATCCTCACTGTTTAGGAAAGCTCCGTGCATTGTGTGTTTTCTTATGCAGCTTTTGCCTTGCAACCACATGACATTCTACTCCTACTGCCATTTTTACTGGCTTACATAGGAATGTAGTAGTAGTGAAGCATACTTGTGTCAGGGGCCAGTTACACACAGTAAGTAGGGCAAAGGCTTTTCCTACTTCTGTATACCTACTTTTCACTTTCAAATTGACATGCACAGAAAACAACCCAGTGTATAGCTGAGCTTATCAGTTGAAGTGAGAAAGGGGGGCATTCTTGAAGGGGAAAAAACAAGTTCTCTTGCATGGCAGAAAAACGAAAGTTGAAACAATGTCAGCAGATAAAAGAGTCAAAGGGGCAGAAATTCTCGGAAAACAAGTCTTTCTCTTCTATTTACCAGAATATGGAGATCCAGGAACACTGTGGGACAGCAGCCCACTGCTCATGGCAGACTCCACGCTGTCACACCGAGTCATGGAAACTCCGGACTGGGACCGGTGTATCGCGGGAGGGGATGTCCCTCCAATCCCAACTCCTCCCTTTGGCTTCGGAACAGCTGTAAGTATACACAGAATTCGGCTCACTAGCAGAACATGACACACACATTGTTCACAGACTCTTACACTACTGCACTTAGTCTTATCATCTTATGTGGGCAATAATTGTAGTACTGTTATCGGCTCTAATAAAAAAAATTTGGGGTCGTTTTTTGAACTTTACATAAATTGTTTTATTATAGAGGAACTCTGTGAACCAAATGCAGCATTGCTAAAGACACGGACCGAGGTTTCTCCTGAGGGTGGAGGGGGAGGAGGAGGGAGAGGGTGAGGAGGTGATGGTGAGAGGTGTGAGGGTGGGGATGGAGCCCGAGCGATGAGATGACACAATTGGACTGGCAGACGATGGTGGACCGGAGATTGTTCTGGTGGCTGGATGAGAGAGAGAGAGAGAGAGAGAGAGAGAGAGAGAGAAAGACAAGAAGGAAGACGCAAAGATAGACGTGTAATAATTATAGCTAAAGCTCCGAAAGTGCACATTTCTTAAATTCTAGAGCCATTACGAATGTAATCAGAACATAGAATAGAAAATACCCATCTTGTTGAGAATGGGAAAGCTTATCACAATAAAATGGTTAAAGCAATATTGTTTGTAGGAAGATAACGAGGGAGAGGACGCAATATGCAAAAGAAAAAAAAACCTTTGGTTTTCTTGACTTGTTGCACAGCCCTCTGAGTGGCTGGAGAGCTTCTGCCTTTCTTCCCCGCAGCCGTGGTGGCTGCCTCTCTCTCCTTCTCCCTCTCCTCCCACTGATAGAGCTGCCTCTCCTCTATCTCCTTCTGTCGGTCTATCAGATCCGCCTCAAAGAACGTCCGTCTCGTTAACTGCGGGAATGATGTCATTGTGATGTTTTACGATGTTTACTCTTACTGTCTCCATGGCGACTTGTATGCGGTCCAATTCCAGAACGGCAGAGCGGATTGCCTGTGTTGTGTTGGTGTCTCGTTCCCGTGACAACAGCAGCCGCACTGTCGCATCCAGATCCTGGAGCAAGGCACTGTCACCTGTAGTGATAATGATTACATCATCATCAATGACATAATTTATTACGACATAAGTATTACATCATTGGAATGGAAAACCTAATTCAGTCATAGCCTTGTTTTCATGCTTCCCATAAAACAAAGAAAAATAATGTGAGGTTTTATATTAGAGGGGTCCTTGTTTCAGGGGTTCAAATTGAGGGGTTCCAACTGCCCCCCTGGGTTACTAGTAGGTCCTGACCGGGGAGTTTAAGAGTGGTCTTGAGGGCTGGCAGAAGATGACAGAGTCGCAGTCTCACATTCACCACCGAGTCCTGTGTTGGTGGAGGAAACACAGAATATGGAATGGTGGCAGTATGTAATGGCTAAATTTAGAAACTGTTACTAAAGATAGATAGGAGCACAGTGCAAATGAGTTTGAATGGAGGATAAAAAGGTTCCCTCAATATGAGGGGCCTAATTGGAGGGTTCTGTGGTGAGTACAGTGAGTGGTGTGGACTAGATAAAAAAGGTTCCCTCAATATGAGGGGCCTAATTGGAGGGTTCTGTGGTGAGTACAGTGAGTGGTGTGGACTATATATGAGGAGAGGATAAAAAAGGTTCCCTCAATATGAGGGGCCTAATTGGAGGGTTCTGTGGTGAGAACAGCGAGAGGTGTGGACTTACGTTGCCCAAGGCCAGAGCAGGGGAGAAGAAATGCTGCTTGAAGAAAGATCGTGAGAAGACAGTCAGAATGATGGTACAAAGGTCGAGGTAGAGCAGCCTGTTGTGGCAGCCATTGCTCTGGGCACACTCTGAGGGAGAAATAGACGGTAAGGTGTTTGGATTTTGCATTTCTATCAAGTCCCTATGAAGTGCTTCCTTTATCCCTATCTCGCCTTAATTTCATCTCTATTTCGCCATATCTTATTTCCATGTCGATGATCACCTCACTGTACCCTCCCCCTTGTCCCCTTACCAAGGGGGTTCAACGAATTTGCATTTCTTTAATGAACGTGAGCGGAAGAAAAAGACAAACCAACCATCCACAATAGTTTGACTATAGCTGGAGTATGGAATAGTAAAACAGGCAGACGGACAAACCTCTGCTTAGTCTGTCGACGACGGCTGATCTCTGGTCGGCCTTCCGGAGGTGCCTGGTGACAACTGCTAGTGACTGACACGATGCCAGCTTCACTGGACGAACATACTGTACAGTGATGAGGGAAAGAGAAATTAGACATTACACGTGACATTCAACCTTTATCCAAAACTTTTTCTAATGTCACGAAAAAATGGTGTTAGGGTCCCACATACACACAGTATATAATGATGGTCAACCATGTAACAGTGTTTTGCACGAGAGATATCTTTTACGCAATTCACTGTAATGCAGTGATGCAAATAGTGTACGTATTATGAGGACACCTTTCCAGTGATGATCTTCATAAGAATGGGGACTATCTTGTTGTACAGTTGGTCCGTCGTTAGGCAGTGAACCAATGAGGAAAACCCTGTTACTATCTGCTCGTGGAGTCGCCATTGACGACAGCTGCCGGCCACACCCTCTGCTATTATCAGTGGACCGATCAGCTCCGGAATACCGGGATGCTGCAGAGGAAAACAATCAGGACAGTGTTAGTTCAGGACGAGTTATTATCAGGATGTCCTAAACTGCCTTTGTTTCGGGGGAGAGATTTGCGGATTTCGCGAAGCCCTGAGTGTCTCGGTCATGTGACCAGCCAGACCTGCAGAACCTGAATACACAGTCGAACCAACCTCGCTAATCCTGACACCAATGAGACACAAGAATGTTTGTATTAGTAAAGTGTCCTTGAATGCATAAAAAGAAACTGATCTATATAAAGGTACATACATGTCCTTAGAGGAGAGTTCCACTGTATATACATACGATGCTAAAAGAGAGAGAAGAGAGGAGAAAGATTGTCTTACTTCAACTGATTTTGAGTTGAGTAGTTTCTGATAGATGCCCACCGCACTCATACTCTTGTCTCCTATCAACCGGACCACCTCGTGGTAACCGCTGGCAACGGTGTGTCTCACGCGAGGCGAATCGTCTGTTGCCAGGTCCTGGTGGGTGGAGCTTAGCTTCACGGCGTACCCGCCTCCTCCTACCATCTGCACCATTGCCTGAAGACAACATGAAGACAACGTGAGAATGAAACAATACACATAATTATGTACATAAAGTTACTGCGTATGTTAGATATGGTAGGCGGGACTTACAGGGAAGTTGTAAGCACAGAGACGACGACATTCCGTCCTCATTCCATTCCGGACGGTGGTGGTTGGCGTGGCAACGGAGTGGGGCCTCCCCTCGTTAACGGGGTCGTCAAACCTGCTGAGCTGGCAGTAGAACTTGACAAACCAGTCACGCAAGTCGGCCGTCATCACATCTGATTAATCATGACATCACTATTACATCATACTTTAAACCTCAGAAGGTGGATCTCTAAGTAACAGACACCTCCCTATAAAGGTACGTAACTTACTAGCTCAACTGCTGCCAGCAATTCAAAGGAATTGTGGCAGTAATAGAGAAAAAGCAATCTGTATAATATATTTGCATTCTTGCACTATGTATGGTTTATCATTTCTGAATGACGTATAATAATTATACTGCCACATTAATTTTGACCCCACGCAGGCCTGCATAAGCTAAATATGATAAACTACTGGTTTTTTCACTCAAGAGAACAGTGAGGAGGTAGAATGATGTAATAATGATGTAATGGCCTATTGATAATTACTTACCTTTCAGTTGGTGGCTGAGTTTCCCCAGCAGTCGTGCCACGCCGGTCAAATCAGGACTGGAAACATCGGTCAGTGATTTTTGAAAGATTTTTACGACCAGAGGGACCGCCACAGTTCTGACTGTCTCCACTGGTAGATGGGGGACCACATCGGCTATTGACTCCAGAGCCGTCTCTCTGACTGCAGGTTCTTCGTCGTTTGTCAGCTCCGTTAGTTCGGGGAGCACACAGGATTTCGCTAGCTCTGGGCTAGTGTGTGAGAGAGAGAGAGAGAGAGAGACATGCAATTTGCTTATGGGTAAAAATTTGACATTCTTTATTTCAACGGCATTGAAAAGCGTACGTAGCAAAACGGTGAATTTATTAGTAAGGTTTTAACCCAAAAACCTCGAATCCATGAATGTCTTACTTCATGCATTTGGCGAAGATGTGCAGCTGGGAGCACATGGTTATCCTGACCTCAGAGTCCACATCTTGACAGAGAGACTTTACTTGTGGAAACACCTCTCTCTTCAACCTGCACGCAGCACGATAAAATGTGTGGGTTCGAAGGAAAAAACAAAGAGGAAATATAAAGGGAATGTGGCAGTATAGAGGCTATGTGGGTGCATTACCAAATACCAGAATGGTTCAAATTTCTGTGCGATAGCTCCAAAAATGAGACAGCCAGACTTCCTAGAATTGACCGTCTGTGACAACTGCGACCTAGCAACAGCCAACGAGAGTATGTCCCTCCTAATTACGTCCTTCGTTAGCGACGGAACTGCCACTAGCAACGCGTCCAACCATACACTGCTGACAGCTGGAGGAGATATAAAAAATCAAAATCACATCTCTCAGACAGTTTCAGTTCTCTGATAACTATGTAAGTAATTAGTGAGCAAAACAAGCCTACCTAGTCGTCTGAATGCAGGATTATCTAAACCTTTACTTCTTGCACGGGCACTGCACATACCGTAAAGTTCTACGTGATTCTAAATACACGCAAATTTGAATCTTATTCGTGTGAAAGGTTAAAAATCAGGCTCACTCGCCCAAAATGATTAAATCCATGTTTGATCTAAAAATATTCCAAAAGTGAACGTACAAGGGTCTCTGGAATTGACGAGTCTGATCACCAGGGGCAGAAAGGAGGAGGAGAAAATGTGGGTGGGGATTAGATTCCTGGATAAGGCCACGCCCAGACTCCGCCCAGCTGCCGTCTGGATATTGGCCGAGGCACTGGGCAGGTTTCCCTAGTTAATGAGGAGAGATACAATGTAGCATAAAATTATCAATCGTACACATATTCTCGGGACGATCTTGTTGAGAGATACAATGTAGCATAAAATTATTGGGTAAAAATGTCCATCTTAGAGAAGTGTCCTCAGCACTTTAGGCAAGTGAGGGAGAGAGGTTAGGAAGAGAGAGAGAGAGAGAGAGAGTCTTGCTAACACACAACATGTGTCCCTAGCTGTCAACCGTACACATATTCTCGGGACGATCTTGTTGAGAGTCTGATCTCTGTTGGTCTCCAGGAGACAGGGCAACTGCTGGACTGCATACACCTTCTGTACCTCCTGACCCGTCCTGCACCAGTGGAGTAGGGTGTTCACTTTGTAATTGTGCGTAAGATGGTTTTTACATGCATATACATACTGTGGAACTCCTCTCAAATCTAACTAATATGGACACTTTCTTAATGGTGTCTGGATTAGGGGAGTTCAACTGTGTTATATAAATCAAAGGGAATTGGCAGTATATATAACAAGGACTAAATTTTGAAAGTGGCAACATTTCTAAATTTGGTCCTTATGTACTGACACATTCCCTGTATTTCACCTGAGGAGAAGATCAGCCTTTTCAATAGGAGAGAGTGTCTCATCAACTGTCAGCTTCTCTATTTCTTCAGGAGACTGTTTGAATTACAAGACAAGTTCAAAAGGCCAGGGGTAGCTGCTATGCAACGCACAAGATGATAGAGTTTGTAAGAGACTAGCTTTCAAATGAGTGGTGTGACACTATCCCAACCCTGCTACCCCAGAGAGCGAGCAAGCTCCGCATAGCAACTGAGCACCATCGTTTGGTAACCTGGTGCGCGTCATTAGAATCAGCTACGCCTCCTTTTCGGATCGAAGCCTGGAAAACTCGCTTCCCCCGCGCGCTCGCAAGTCTGCGTGTGTCACTTGCCTTGGTGCCTTGACGGTCTTCTCCGACGCGAAGTTCCTCATCTCCTCCGTCCCCAGCTGCAGGAACTCGGGGCGAGTGGTGTGAGACCCGCAATCCCAGTCATTATTCTCTCTCTGCTTGTTTGCGCGACTAGATTGCCTCAGTTGAAGTACTTCTGCGAAAAAAGCTGTTTCAACGTATATTTTACCCTCGAAGGCCAAGCAGTCGGTGGTTTTTCGATAGTTGTATAGTTTTTGGAGTATTATACTCTCTCGCGCTTTCTAGGGTGGAAATCACGCATGCGCACAACAAGCCAGCGGAATGACGTAATCTTTGCGGGTGACGTGGTGTTTCTCCCATTTTCTACAGTGGTCGATTTTCTTGGAGAATCGACTGCTAAGAGGTCTCTGCTGCCAACAAGAAATGGATTAATCTGGTAGTGCTGTTCGTCTTGACGGCTATTCTGTGTGCGTGTGGGGCGGCAAAACCACGGGGAGGCAAGTTTAGTGGGCCCGAGGCCATCCAACAGAATCTTTATCAGCCAGATAACGCGGAAGAGGAAGAGGTAAGGGGAAAGGAGGGTAGAGCGTAGAATAGGGAATGGCCGTTTGTGTATATAACAACGGTATAAAATTTGGTGGGGTGCTCTTAATTGGTAAATGACGCCCCCTCCCTCCCCACTCTCCTTTCTTTCTCCTCCCAAAGAGTCGAAGCCATCTGTTGAAGGCAGAGCACTGTCACTCTATAACGACGCGACTAATTTCTCTGAGGATGAAAGGTGGGTGGCAGTTTTGGTTTCTGCGGGCATCTCTCTGTTGTTTCCCCTACCACATGAATGGCAGCTTTAACCCTTTCCCCTCCTTTGTATCTCTTCTTCCCTCTCTCTCCATCGTCCTCGTGTTTCTCCCCCACACAACCCTTATGTTTGTTTCTCCCTCCATTCCATTCCGTATGCTCTTTCTCCTCCTCTCCCTTCTCATCTCATGTTTTTCTTTAACACTCGTTCTCCCTGCCCTCCCTCACTCACATCCACAACTCTTCATCTCCTCTCCCTCCCTCCTCTACATCCACACCACTCTTCCTCTCTCCCCCTCCCTTATACAATTGCAGCGAACTTTAAGAAGCCAGTTGGTATAAAACGGTCGTAGTATCAATATCAGAGCCAATGTGCTAATCTTGGAGCTGTGGAGTTGTTGGAGACGAGCAGTACATTGGATTCTGGGACACATCACTATCGTACATGTTATGCTACAGTCGATACCAGCCTGAGAGCCTGATAGTGGTAGTGGATGTGGCAAAGTCTGAACACGTGCTAGCCAAGTACACATCCACACAGTACGACAACAGGTGACTATTTGGAGTGTATGCAAACATCACTTGTTAGCTTGTGATAAATTGTAGATCACGTGGACTCTTCTCACGTAAAACAGGCAGAAGCCATCTACAGTAGATGCCAAAGGATGTGTAGGGCTAAATATAGAAACACTGACTCGGTTTGCATTCTTCATGCACATCACTGTGCCCCTATTGTTTTGTGTCTCATCTTATGTAACATCTAAACTTCAGCCCTTAAATACTGCCACCTTCCCTAAATGAATCGTACGCTGAGCTTCACTTATGTATTAGTATGGGCAGAGAACCAGTGTCTTTTATGGAGAGTGTCCTTATTTGGAGGTATAATACCTATATGTGGGGGCAGAACCATGCTGTCCTTTAGAGAGAGATGTCCTTTACTCAGTCGTCCTTTTTTAAGTTTAAGAGGTTTTATTTAATCCCCCTTTTTCATCCTGTAGCCAGTAAACGCAGAGAACAGGCACCCCGACGGAACCAGGACAGACGGAAAAAGACGAAGAATCGGAGAAGGAGGAGTCTGAGAGGAGAAGGAGATGAGAGTAGCACGGAGATATAGAGAACAGACACAGCACTGATGACAAAAATGACTGAGCAGATTGAACAAAAAATGACAAAACCAAGACAAGCCAAGGCAAACAACACTGCCGAGGGAGAATAATTCCACTAACCGTTCAGTGACTGTTCTCGCGCTCCATCACAGACACGCTAAAACCCATCCCCTGCTCCGACTTCTCCCGATGTCCTACTACTGTCCGCTACCACTGCTCCTATCACTCACTCACGCTTCAGCTAAAGTGAACAAGTGAGCCGTCTGCCTTTCTTTCCCATCGACATTTGTAACTGAACACACGCTTCTTGACTCTTTCATTCAAAAAATCTTGTTGTGAACGAACCACGGGTGGAGTAGTGCATGCCGATGCACACGATACCCGTGATACAAACTTTGCAGAGTGTTGTCTATTTACTGTTACAGATACGTACCTGCTCTGTACTTTTGATCTCTCTCTAATTGCTCTGTCTCCCTTCAGAGTCCGAGTGGCGAATGTCGTCCGAACCATGAGTCGGACTATTCGTGTCTACATTCAGTCTTGGGTCAGAGAAAGGGGACACACGTCAACCTGACCTGTGCGCCGTTCGTGCTCTCACTTCTTATTCCTCTTCGCCCCTTTGCCCTAGTTCCTTGCATGTTTTCTTTTATATTATGTAGAAGGTTAAATGTAGTTAACGGAAGGGAGCCAGTCCTGGTGCGCCCGCATATTGCGCAAGGGAAGCAGGGAGCGGAGACGCATGAAATTATAGTTCATAGCATACCAGCCATAGGTATATATAGCATGCACACCCAATGTGCATGCCCAAGATATCCCACGTGGTTACGGTGCCATTAGTCAGTGATCTACGAGCAGACGGCTGCATAAAGGACACACCCGCTCAACATTTGGCTCCTCCAAGTGTAGAATGGGCAGACTAGAGTTAACTCGGTGTTATCAATCTCGTTTTAAGACTTGTGAGCTTTTTCACCTTTTTCACACATTTTTCACACATTTTTAACACATTTTTCTGACCTTTTTTTATCCTCTTCACTCTTTTTCCTTGTTACTATTAGTCTTCTTCATCTCTTTCTACGACTCGTAATTCTAATTCTTGTATTTTCTGTGTCAAGTAACGTTCTGCTGTTTTTTTCTCTTCTTTGTCTAATGTGTAGTTGATTTAGAGATGAAGAATACGTTTGGATATCTGGGTGCTATTGATTACCCCGCACTAGTGGTGAGTCTGCAATCTAATGATGTAATATGTACGTATGCAAACTAATCGATGACGTCATAATTGTTTCATCACATTAAAAAGACCCTGTACATACCATAATAATTATGCCTTTCATGAGTATTTTTCACATAATTGTTTAAACTTCCGTGTTTGAATGCAAGGAGCTTTTTAAACCATGTCTCTCTCTCCCTCTCTCTCTCATTCTCTCTCATTCTCTCTCTCTCTCTCCTGCTACAGTTCTACGGCCTGATGCTGGCAGTGTACATCATCCTTGGCCTGGCCTGGTCGGTCTGCATGTGCTGCTCCTACAAGGACCTCGTCAGGCTCCAGTTCTGGGTTTTTGGAGTCGTCATTCTCGGGTTTCTGGAGAAAGTCTTCTTCGTTTCGGAGTACAGCTCCGTCAATGCCGGGGAGCAGAGTAAGGCCTTTAATTTTTTTTATTCCTCTCCGTGTACTGTTCATTTTTTTAGTTTGATTTCTTGACTGTATGTATTTTGGTTCATCTCGATTTGTTGACTGTGCATTTTTGTTCTGTTTGTCCATTTTTTTCCCGCTAGTACTATTAGGCAGCATATTTTTTGATGGCTCATCTCAAATTTATCTCCGTCTCTCTGCAGCCTCGATGCTCATTGTGCTGGCAGAGGGGATATCGGCAGTCAAGAGAGCTCTGGCCCGAGTCCTGCTCATCATCGTCTGTCTCGGTTTTGGGACCGTCATGTCAGTCTCTCTTCTCTTCTCTCTTCTCTTCTCTCTTCCAACACACACTTTCTTGTTATCTTTCTTTTTACCTACCTTGCATCTTGATCTTCTTTTCTTTTACCTGCAATTTTCTTTTTGTTTCGTCTCATTTTTTCTTTTCTCTCTCTCCTCATTATCCCCTTCCATTACCCACACTGATAATAGGACCTTTACTACTTTTTTAACCTGCACATACACTTGTCATTTTACTCCCTCCCTCCCTCCCTTCCTCCCTCCTCTCCCTCCCTCCCTCCTCCTCCATTCAGCCCCAGACTGGGTGATTCTTTCTTGAAGGTCATAGCAGCTGGCGTCATATACTGGGTTCTCGCTCTCATCGACGGCGTTGTCCGATCGAGAACTGTGAGTCTTCACACGATTGTGTGTAAATGTCCAGTTTAGTATCGTGAGATCTTAACCCTTTGGACACAATAGGTATTTCCTTTTAAAAAAGCAGAATCTTATGTATAAAGTATTAGCACACCTACTATTATAACCCCTGTATATATATTCTTATGGACTTGTGGAGGGTCTAGACGCATTTATGTGTCCGTGGCTGGTTAAATGTTAATTCACATTGTGTATGTGTGTGTGTGGATTTAGGACACGTTTGATACTGATGACAGATCACCTCTGGTGACAATGGCTCTGCTGTTCTTCATGGATTCCTTCATATTCTACTGGATATCCTCACCATTACTTAACTGGGGTTTTAACACAAAAAAACATGAGCCTTAGGGTACCACTGCTTGTATATTATGTGCTACTGTGGAACCTCCAAATAAGGACACAAAATGTACAACTGTTGAGTTTGTGGTAAAATGTGGCAGTGTGTACATACATATACTTGGGGCTGAAATTGAAAGTGAGCGATAGGGGCCGGTGAGGAGGACGCAATTAGGTTTTACGTTTCTAGTAATGATTTCTAAATGTATAGCTTCACAGAAATCACTGTTAATCTTTGACTCATGTACTCACGCCATAACGGCACTGATTGGAGTGCGAAGAGCTCTGCGATTGAGGAAGAACTACGTGAAACTAGCCATGTACAACCACTTTGCGTACACCTTGATTTTCTCGCTCCTCGCGACGCTGGCCTTCACCATATGGCTGTTTGTGGAGGTCAACTTCCCCAAGGCCGGCTGCCTGGAGGTCTGTTATCTAGTGGTGAAAGAGTTAAACTTGTTTGTAGAGGTCAACTTCCCCAAGGCCGGCTGCCTGGAGGTCTGTTATCTAGTGATGAAAGAGTTAATTAAACTTGTTTGTAGAGGTCAACTTTCCCAAGGCCGGCTGCCTGGAGGTCTGTTATCTAGTGATGAAAGGGTTATTAATTAATTAATTAAGCTTGTTTGAGGCCATACTTTTCAAAACTTTAATGCGACTTCAATGTGTTTGTTACGTAAGTGAATGCAACCGGTTGTAAGTTTCATAGACCAATATATTTCAGTTGCATAAAGCTTTGTCTCAAGTGCACTAACTTGTCATGTCACTCTAATCCTATCATACTGCATTCACTACGTATATTATGGTTCACCTAACCCCACCCACTATTGTATGAGCATGCACATGAGATGAGACCACGCTAATTGCAGAAACACTTTACACAAGCGACAAAGAGCACAGTGTATTAATTTCTTAAAGCCAGGACAAACCGAACGCATATACCTGTCCCTTGTTCAGAGGTATTGTAATAGTGTGGGACAGAACAAGTGTCCTTCTAGAGAGGTTTCAGAACAGTGGAACCTCTGATAGGCTACCCTCCGACGATAGGGAGCGGCCTCTCTCACAAGGGACACTTGTTTCAATCAACCCATGCTCAATACTTTAGTGTATTATTGACCTCCGAGGATAGGGACGACTCTCTACTATACAAGTGGACACAAATGGTTGGCCCCATAGTGTCCCTCGTTCAGAGGTTACACTGTACATACTATGTATGTATATTGATGTATTCAGGACTGGCAGGAGGTGTGGCTAAGGGACTGTTTCTGGCATTTCCTGTTCGTCATTGTGCTGATAGTCATAATGGTAATCTGGCGACCGTCGGCCAATAGAAACAGGTTTGCCTACTCTCTCGTCAACGATCTCGACCAAGAAGACGAAGAGGAAGAGGAACGAATGGAAAACAAAAATTTTGGTGAGAACTTAAACCCAACCATATTATTTTTGCCATATATTTTTCTCCCCATCACCAAAAATGTTGGTGCCTTCTTGGCACATACATATTTTTCTCCCCATCACCAAAAATGTTGGTGCCTTCTTGGCACATACATATTTTTCTCCCCTTCACCAAAATTTTTCTGATGTCTGTTTCAGAGACAGTAAAGATGAGATCAGTAAGTCGAGGCGATGCAGGCACACCCCCTCCTATCTCCTCCACCCAGGCTGTGAGGAATCTATATTTAGACCACTGTTGCTATTTTTAGTAATGATGATGTCATCAATCTGCAGGAAGATGACTTGAGGTGGGTGGAAGAAAACCTTCCTACAACTGCCATGGACAAGTGAGAAAACTTTTTTGTGCCCATCTGTAATTTTATGGTCGCTGTCGTATATTTTGCAGGGCACTTCCACTGATACTGGATAGTGATGAAGAAGAGATGAGCACAAAATTTGAAGTCTCAAAAATGAATTAACCCTTTCCTCACACCTCATCAGTTGCACACACTTGCCTTTCCTTTCTCTTCATTACTTTAGTTCGCATTCTCCATGCAGTGTAATCTGAGTAATAAACATTTTGATGATCTGCGTACAGAAAGTACGCAATACGAAAACCAGCCATCAAAATTAATGTCTACGGGTTTGGGTTTACGGTGCTAATATCCGGAGGTTCATAGTTCATGCTCCGTAATCTGCATCAGGTGTCTGCTCCGCCTCTTTTCTGTCGCGCGGCTACTCTCGGCCCTCAGTGTGCTCCGGGGGACATGAACGAAGCGTTCGAGCTGTGTCGACTTGTGGAGAAGCTCCCGCTCAAGATATGCGCCATAGCTACGTGGGGTGAGTTGCCCTCTCCAGGCCGCGCCCGCGGAAACTAGCTACACCCGCGATGGTGCGCATCAATTGGAACTCTTGACCGTTCCCATCTCGCAGATGACGTATTCATCCTGAGCACGGTCCATACTAAGGGAGATGCCCACCTGCTGGTCTACCAGATCAAGGAATCCTCGAGTGAGCATTATATAGGCTTCTTACAACATTATCTACTTAGAATACCTGCTAGTGGAACCTCTATAAAGGACACTTGAATAATTATGCATTTTGATCCTGTGTTTAACCTCTGAATAAAGGACACGTTATTATAAATGACAATTTTCATGGTCCTATTAATTGGACGCCATGGGTATCTCCTTAAATATGCATAAATTACATTAATGCCTAGCATTATAGCCATATATAAAGTCTTATGGACTTATCTTATGGAGGCTCTGGGCATATATATATATAATATATGTCCGTGGCTGGTTAAGGGTTAACTCCTTTAAGAGAGAGAGAGAGAGAAAGAGAGATTATGCAGAGATTCCACTGTATGTTGCAGTGAAGTAATGAGGTGAATGCAACATGTATAATATCAATGGTGTGTTGTGTGGTGGTTACAGGTACGTCTGACTACAGCAGTCCCTACGAGGCAAAGTTGACAAAGACACTCAAGAAATTCACGGCCAAACCGGTCACGCAGGTTTGTCTGGCTTTACATGCTACGTATAATATGTACTGAGTTTTCTTCCATGTTGACTGCTCTTGCGGGAAATTTAAAGGGAAAAACTGCAGTTTGCCTATTTTTGACCGAAGACGTTTTTGAGTTGGAAAATGTTTTGCATAGGGACAATGCAACATTATCACTCTTTTCTGCACAATATTGCAGAAGATTTCATCCCCGAATTTTTAACATTTTAAATTTTTTTCACCTCCTTTTTCTCTTTTGTAGTAGCTGGCAGTAATCACCGAACACAAGCTGCTGCTGGGGCTAGCAGAAGGAGAGGTGTTCTTTGCCGATCTCGAGCGATTCGCCATCTTGGGCTACCTCCAGAAGAGCCGCGGTGCATCGTATTTTGTGGTTGACTGGCACCGGCTACGCAGCCACGTGGGGATCGGGAGAGAGTTGAGAGTTTGCGTGTCCGTGAAAAAGAGGCTGCAGATTTACAACTACAAGAAGGGAGCATTTGAACTGGTGAAGGTGAGAGAGATGGGGTTCATGCATGACGAGTTATGTTAAGTAGTGTCCTGTGTGGTGTCCTGATTCATTTAGTATTGCCATAGGTCAATGTGAGCTTATAGTTTCCCGGAATGGTTGATTTTTGTAAAAATCGCAATCTTGTTCTACACTGCCCAGTGTTAAGGGTTTGTGGCCAATGAACTTCGTATTATAGCTGCTTTTTTTTCAAATTCTAATTCATGGACTTGTAGTCTATTCTTACTACCAAGCAAGTTGTTCTGTGGATGGTTATGTAATGACATTGTATAAACTCTAGTGCGATTAGTAAAGAAATGTGTAAATTTGGCCAAAGTAAAGAAATTTGTGAATTTGGTCAAATTTACTTACATCTCTATATTTACTATCAGAGTGACCTTGTACTGCCGGACAATCCGAAGGCATTCACATTCATTGGCAGTAGTCTGCTGGTGTGCATCAAGAAGGACCTCTTCCATGTAACTGTAAGTTTTCTATATACCAGTTGGAGAAATTTTACAGATTAAGAAGTGGGTTGCCTTTCGAGAAAGAAGAAGAAGTTCCTGCATTGCATGCAATGTATCCCTGAAGTAAGGACACCTAGCTATATATACCCTTCATTCTGTCCCATTGGTGTCTGGAGTGGAGAAGTTCCACTGTATAATGCTCAGGACACCTCACTAATACGGACACTTTCTTCTGTCCCATTGGTGTCTGGAGTGGAGATAATGCTCAGGACACCTCACTAATACGGACACTTTCTTCTGTCCCATTGGTGTCTGGAGTGGAGAAATTCCACCGCACATAAGCTATTGCATGTTGTGTTCCACTGTATATGCAGTTGGATGGGGATACGTGTAAAGAGGTGTTCACCATTGGAGCGAGGAGATCTGACCCTTGTCTGCAGCCCCTCATGAATGGAAACACTCTGGTACTGCAAGATGAGAACCAGGTATATTTCAGCAAAGATTGTACACCTTACACTTGTTCTCTCCCTCCCTCCCTCCCTCTTCCCCCTCCCTCCCTCCAGTTCAGCTATGATATCAATATGAAGCCAATCGACAGCTCTCCCCTGACCTGGAGCGATCTTCCTTCCCACGTTGTCCACGTCCATCCCTACGTCATTGGTCTCCTTCCCAAGTCAGCCCTCATCCAATGTCACATTCCCACATCTCATTCCTCCCTTCCCATATCACATTATTCCATTCCCATGCCTCATTATTCCATTCCTATGTCTGATTCTCATGTTCCATTCCTCATTTGTGATTCTCACATCCATTCCCATGTCCCATGCTCATTTCCTCGTGTCTGATTTCCACTCATTCCTCGTGTCACATTCCTAATTTCCCATTCCCATGTCTCATTCCCCGGTTCCAGGTGTCTGGAGATAAGAGCCCTGGACCAAAAATTGCTAATTCAGACCCTGAAATTTACAGAATCTCTCAGATTTATTACACACGATAGGTGAACCCGTTAACCCCTTCCCCACTGTGTGGTGGTGTTAATTAACCCCGTTCTCACCAGGAACACGCTGGTAGCTAGTCAGAAGGAGGTGTACAAGTTGGAGCCGCGACCGTATGATCAGCAGGAATCAATGTTTGTCAACGGAAGACAGTTTGAGCTAGCACTGCAGATCTCCGTGAGTTGAAACTTTAGTTGACCGTGTGCTAACTATAAGTTGTTTGAAAAACTTAGTTAGGCTAAGAGCATTTTATTTTTCATTACACTTCCTAGTCTCTGTGTTGATTAAAGTCGTTCTGTGTTAGCTGTATCAGTTTGCGTTAGCTCTGCATCAGGAGTGTCACCTGCTCACGCACGTCCCCCAGGCTCTGATCAACGAACCCCCAGAGGAGAAGACCCAGCGTCGTCGCACGGTTCTGAGGAAATATGCGTTTCATCAGTTCACTCAACTCCAGTTCAAAGATTCACTCGACAACTACCTCAAGATCCAAGAAGGTAAGGTTCGTTTCGAACTGAATCAATATCATGTAAGTGGAATCAATGTGTGTTAAAATCAATCAAGATGCGTTAACACATGTTAAGGTCCATCGAATTGCGTTAGACCGTAAATGCCTTATGGTTTTAGTGAAGAGTCAAGATGGTGTTAAGCGGTGTCAATTCTGTGTCAAGTGGTGTCAAAATCTCTGCAGATCCTGAGGTGGTGATAGGTCTGTACCCCCACCTCCTCCCGTCCGAGAGACGACGAACCATCAACCAATCTCAACCCACCCGACCTCCTACTCTATCTGGAGAGCACCTCGAGGAGGGAATGAAGCACCTCATCAATTATCTCACTCAGGTATGTATGCTGCTCACACCGTTGCCATAGTTTCAGGATAAGCTCAACACCACGCAAGTGTCTGTTGGCAGGTGTGCTATTAAATTGTGAAATCAAAACTCAGGAGACAATGTCTTTATGTTTCCATCTTGTCCTCTCAGAGGAGATCGACAGACAAGCAGCTGCTACAGAGAGTCCTGAAGGGAGAACACAAACTGCCCGAAGAAGAACTGAAGAAGCTCGTTGGTACGGTCCCCATTCCGTTCCTTTATGCATTCCATCAGTTCCGTTATGTATAGTATTCCACTTTGGTCACTATTCCATACCATACCAGTCTCTATTCCATTACTTTCTCTGTTGAATTCCATACTGGTCTCTATTCCATTCCACTCTGTGCTGAATCCCATTCCATTCCTCCAGAGCGACTAAAGCTGATTGACACAACTCTTCTAAAGTGCTACCTAAAAGTAAAACCATCCTTTTCTATTCCCAGAGCCTTTGAGCGTGATTTTCATTTCCTATAAAATTAGACTAATAATACCCTGTTGGGTTCATTGGTTCGTCTCCCTGACAACCACCTTGACGTAGCGGAGAGCGAGCGGGTGTTGAGACAAGACGAAAAGTTCACAGAGTTGGTTGACCTCTTCAAAAGCAAACAGATGCACCGACAAGGTGATATCCCGTGTGCCCCTCCACATATTATTTTTCTTTTTTCAACCATGGATAAGTTGATGTGTACATAATTAACCCTCGGCGTGCATGCGCTAGAGGGTTACTGTACTTGGTCGTGTGTCTCTGTATCCCCTCCGTTCACATTTTTTTCCACTAGGAGCAACAAGATCGCCCTAAGTCTACGCCAACGGGTTCGGCGCTACATTTGCTTGATTTTAAAACTGGCGATTTCGTAAAAACACTGCGTTCAAAAGTTATGGGGTGAAAACCAAGTGAACAAGCCAATATGCAAATTAGCACAGGCTTACCTCGACAAGATGTGCTTGCTCTGCGTACCTTGGAGGCTCAAGAAGTCTCAACCGAGGGCGTGTATCGACTCCCGCATGCTTTCTACAACTGTAGCTAGCCCTCCGCAAACTACTAGCGGAAGACCACGAGTAAACGACCCAGCCCATCAATTAGCGATATCGCGCAAGCGCAGTTCGCCGACACTTTAGTGCTTTACATTTACTACCACCAGCATTCGATCAAGTAATGGTGGTGGTCTGATGGATAAGCAGCCCCTCTCTTGATCGTGAGATCCCTGGTTCGATCCCGGGTGCAGTGCGCCTTTTTTACAATGATGTAATAGGAGTGTTGGCTGTTGGTATAAGTGGAACGTTTTTTCATCACCTCCCAAGGCCAGCCCGAGTGGCTAGGTGGTTAGAGTCGTGGGGACTGACACCATAGGTGCCGGGTTCGAATCCTCGATCCGCACTAAAGTGTCAGGTGGTCCAGAGCATTGGCTGGGAACAGCTCTGGTTCCTCCTCTTACCCACAAATCTACCACTGACCCACGTTTCTCAAAGGGCAGCGTACAGTTCGGCATTGCACTACGTCCGTAGACGTCTGTCTGGAGAGATGAAGGGCTGGGCGTTTTAAAAAATATTTTTTTCCACTAAACAATCCACGGGTAATACGAAAATTAATAGAGAGATGAAAGGTTGGCAATTTTTCAACCTTGTATATTTTTTTGGCCTCAAACAGAAATAGGGCTGGGCATTTTTTGGGAAATGGTGCATGTCTTTATAATAATATATTTCTCTTCCCATTCTTCCCATCCCTCCTCCTCTCCCCCTTCCTCCTCTCCCAGCTCTCACACTTCTCTCACAGTTCAGAAAAGGTCCGACAGAGACCCTGAAGGGGGTGTGGCCAACCATCGACTACCTACAATCCCTTGGCTCAGAATACACTCCACTCATTCTAGAATATTCCGTCTGGGTCATAAAGGTGGGGGGGTATTATATTCAGGGCACGAACAGTCTAGCAGTTTTTACCTTAGTGGGTATATTTGGGAAGTAATTAATTATCGGGGTGGGGGGAAACGTTAATTACCCCTAACAGTATTAAAATACACTAATTTTACTTAATTGTATTGATTATTATAGCCCTATTTTTGGGGGGCAAAGTGATTTTCATGGGGAAATTACCCCCTCCCCTGCCCCCCTACTAAATCCTGTTGATGGTAAGTCGTCCTATAGGACAGCCCAGACGACGCTCTTAGGATATTCACGGAGGACATCAGTGAGGTGAAGCAGCTGCCGAGGGACCAAGTCCTGAAGCACCTGTCATCGTGTGCCACGCCCCTCTGCATCCCTTACCTGGTGAGTAGAGATGCAGGACTCGACCAAGCTTCTTTTGAATTATCGGATGTTGGTCAATATTTTGAATCAGATCCCATTTCTCTAATCTGGATTCTGGTTGGTCTAACATGTCTTCCATTTTGCCACATTTCCTTGCCTTTAATCACATTCGCTTTCTGTATACATCCCATGCTGACTTACATACATACCTACCAAGATTAATAGACAACTACAATAGCGAGGAGAATTTGTAACTTGAGAGCATTTGAAGAATTTTTGCAGTACAAAATGATCGCTTATGATAAGTTTATGAATCTAGAATCTAGTAAATGTCATTCAGAATTTCTCTCTCTCTCCCTCTCCCTCCCTCAGGAGCACATCATCCACAAGTGGGAGGATCCGTCTTCCCAATTCCACAACCAACTGATCGTACTCTTCCTCAGAGACGTGCAGCGGAGGTTACCGGAGTACAAGGTTCAAATCAGAGGTCAGCGGGCAGGTCATGTGACCATCACATGACACTCACATTGTAGTTTACCCTTACTTCATGCTTTTGTGATTTGGAACATTTTAGAAAGGTATATACGTACGTGCTCCGTCCTGCAAAGAATTTGAGAAGGAAATTTTTTACAATACTCAACTTGGATATAGAGGATTTATGTAGTAAAGAAGTACATGTAGGTATCGGTGTGTAGTGTGATCACATGATGTCACCTGAGTGTCACATGACAGGGAGGCAGCGAGCCAGGGCAGGGGAGGAGCCTGGGGTGCTGGGAGTACTGAGGACAAAGCTACTGCAGTTCCTGCGGTCCTCTCGTCACTACAAGGCTGCAGAACACATCAGCTCTCTTCCCGATGATGGTCAGCAGCTATTTATAGTTTTTACTACTGTAATGTTTTATAAATTTCTCATGGGGTGTACTGTGATTACCAATTTAGAAATGGAGCCCCAGTGCAAGAAGTTTTTATTTTCCGTAATAGTTTAGCCCTAAGGCTACTGTAAATTCAAAAAGTTACGCACGCACTGTGTAAAAATATGTGATTTTGTTGTTTTTTTGTTCTCAATTTTTGCTGGTCAGATTTGTTTGAGGAGAGGGCTCTGCTATTGTCGAGACTGGGAAGACACGAGTTGGCTCTGGCAATATACGCCCACGTACTTAAAGATCCTTCGATGGCTGAGGAGTAAGTATCTCATAGGCTTCCTTTAGGGATTAAGTGGTGGGGAATGATATAATTATACGTATGTGCTGTTTGCCTGTTTTGCCTGCTGGTCGTATCGCATGTGCGTATGTAGTTATCTCTTTTGTTCTTCATCAAAGTTCCTTTTATTATTGTCGAATTGAAAATATCATGCTTACCTAATACCGGCTGATACGTGCTGCAGAATTCCCCTGCAAGAATTGCAATAGGAACACCCTTTTCCCTTCTTACCTCCTTGCTTTTTCTTCCATCTCTCCTTTATTCTTGCTTCCTCATTTCCCTCTCTCTCTCTCTCTCTCCCACTAACTCTGCCCCCAGGTACTGTCGAATGACCTATGACCCCAACCACGAAGAGAGTCGAGAAGTCTACCTCTGTCTGTTCAAGATGTACCTCTCTCCTCCCAACATGGAGGAGTTTGGGATCAGAGTACCTGAGGGCTCGCAGCCCGAGGCTAGTGTTGACGACGCTCTCAGAGTCCTCATGGCCCACCATTCTCTCATTGATACTGCCAAGGTATATAAGTAGCATTGCTAGCCTGAAACTTAAGCAGGCCATGCACGCGGCAACTCTGTTGCTTCAACAAAAGCCATCTATTTCTGGCAACTAGTTCTCATTGATACTGCCAAGGGTATATAAGTAGCATTGCTAGCCTGAAACTTAGATGAGGCTGAGGCTTGGTTCACGATATTATGTCGCATTGCCGCGTCGCGTCCTGCCACGAAGATCTATCCTCACGACGGGGCAATGCGACATATTATGAACCAAGCCTAAATAAATTTAGTCTTTACATTTTGTCCGAAGATAAGTTTTTTAAATCTGGTTGGAGGGAGAATATTTCTTATCAGAAGTGTTGTAGTATAAACTGTATGATGTTTTTGCTAAAATTAGCATGGTTCTATTTGTAGCCCACCACTGTATATATACCGCACAGGTGATGGACATGCTACCTCCGGATACTCCACTGAAAGGCCTTCAGAAATTCCTCACAACCATCATCAAAGAGAGGACGTTGCTACGACGACGAACCCAGCTCCTGAAGGGACTGGTATTCTCCGAACATTTACAGGTGAAAAATGGTCAGCTTTTGTACTTTTAGC